CCTCAGCCAACCCCCTCCCCCCCTCCCCAGGCGCCCTCTCTTCCTCGGCATCGTCCTCGTCCTCCGGCTCGAGCACCCCTCGCCTCTTCGCCGGAGTGCACGCGCCAGGTATGTATAACTTTGCTGGCGTCGGCGTCGGCGTCGGCGTCGGTCGATGCTGCGCGGTATTTCTGTCCCCAGGTCGATAGCTCACCTGTAACGTATGTACACTCGCACCCACCTCTTCACGCTCCTCACACGTCCTCGCACAATCCCTCGCGGAATCCTGCCGAAAGGGGTCGGAGCAGTGTCGTTCATCCAGCGGGGACCTTCCTGTCGCTCGGGATTCTTCAGAGCCGTCGGCGAACCCTTTTGAGAACCTCCGGGGCCGAGACGAGGGTCAAAGGTCACGGGGTTCGAGCCCGTGAACGCTCCAATAGGATGCTGCTCCCTGGCGGTACCGTTATCTTCACTCCCGCTCCTCCTCCGACAGCGGAACATCCCGCCACCTCCTCAGACTTACACCGGATATCGATTCATTGAAGGAAATTTTTGGAAAACGCGTTGAGATGCAAGACCGGCCATCCCACTGGATCCTCTACTCGATCACTCGCCGGCTACTTTTTTTTAGGGACTGGGTCGGGAGACGTGGGTCTACAGAAGGATGCCCATCTGTCTGGTCTGTACTTGAATGGACCGGGTCGAAACCTTCCCCGAAGCCGTTTCATCTCCGTCGTTGAAATTTCCGAGAAAACGTGAATGGCGCAGGCCAGGGTTTACCGGGAACTGAATTATGGAGTTTTCCGAGGCCGCCAGCTAAACGTTCATGGAAACACCTTGTTCTGAAATCCCAGAAGCAGTACGAGTTCCAGGCATCGAACGCACCGCGCAGTGGAAACAGCCCTTACGAGCCAGCCACCCTTCGCTTAGCCAGTATAAACCAGGGCGCAGTGGCAGGGGAGCAGGGTGGCCATCATCAGAGAGAAAACGAGCCTGTTTCTGACGGCGAACGGCGTTAGCCTGACGAGCAAACCCTGTAATTTGGTGAACCTCCCTCTTTACGGGTACTGCCAACCCCTCTAGAGAAACCTGGTCGAACTCTCCGAATACTATTTTACGCGATTTAACCATTTTCATAAGAACGTTAACGAGAGGTTCGACTTTCAGAGTTAAAGACGAAAAAATCTCTAGGATTCTCATCCTTGCGAAATCTCTTCGAATCCTCCGCGAATATCCTGCGGTTCGAAGGACGCGAGTAAATCCCGGTGTTAAGGGATCTCGCAAGTAAACGCCAAAGTTCTACAAGGAACATGGAGGGAGTTAAGTATATGAATCTTGGCAGCCTTTCTACGCTCCGTGTCGTTGAACAATACGGCTGTGCGTTTTAAATATCTTATAAACCCGAAGGATCTAAAGTTCCGTATGAATTTCAAATATAAACAAAACGTCGATCCAATCGGCGAAGCGTAGCGAAACATTCTATCCATTAAAGTTCTCGGCTGATCTGAAATAGTTTTACGGTTGACAGATTCAGTTAACCCAACCAAACCTAACCTAACCTAACCTAACTTGATCCAAGCGGACGGTGGGATCGGCGCTCACGATTTCGCAGTTGCAGCCGTCGTGAGGCTCGCATCGCCGGGACGTGAGAGAGCTGGAAAACTGTCTGATCTAACACCGATCCAAATGATTCCATCTGAAAGGGATTTAGCAGCGATTGATCATCTACACATTTGCAACCGACGTATAACGTTACATAGATCGCTTTAACGCTTCCATAGAACTTCTGTTGAAATCACCTTAATTAATTCTACACAAGATCATCCTTATACGGTTACAGGGATGAGGATGCCAATATACATCCAGGATTGGTCCAGTTTCCAAAGAGCCGTTCAGTGATCCTAATCGCGTTGCTTGGAAGGTTGGTAAATGTAGGAAGGAGTCACGTCCCGGATAGCGGACCTGCAGTAAAAAACCAGTCAGGGCGACAGCCTGCGAATACTAAAGTAGAATCGAGTAATTCGGTTGAGCCGATCGAATTCACCGAGAAACAAGGGAAACCTCCCTGCTGCTGGCTGAATAACGTGTTAAATCTCTGATGAAATTTCGTTAGAAAAAAATCCCCTTATCACTTGAAACGTGCTATTATCGTAACCAAATTTTATTATTCAGGTCGAGATTTTCATTGTCCTTTTTTTTGAATTTTTTAAATCTCGAGGTATTCAAATATTTTTGAATGCCATAATAACGTAATAATAACGAGGGTAACGAAGATGGAGAATGGTTGAGATTCTCATGGTACCTAGTCACTTTTTCTTCCTCTTCTTCTTCTGCATACTCCATCATCTATACTCCCGTTTACCCATGTCTGGGTATACCGACAGAAGCCCACTTCTAGGAGACGCTCGCGCAATCACGTCGACACGAGTGTTTCCTCGAGCGTAATTAAAAACTGGAACGTGCAACGTGCGTTGCGCCCACGCGGTGTGTCTCGGCTGTGGCTGGCCTTTTGTACAAAAGTGATTGTGATTACAGTGAGAACAACAGGCGAAACAGGCGAAACAGGCGAAAGAGGCAAAAGAGGCAAAAGAGGCAAAAGAGGCAAAAGAGGCAAAGGAGAGGCAAAGGAGAGGCAAAGGAGAGGCATTGCTCTTGGCGATTTCCCAACGGAAGTGCCAATGCGGATTCGGGTCGCGCGTTGCAGCTCTGCTCGGGACGTTCGTTTCCTTATGAGACGCCTCTCCCTCTACCTTCGTTGACATAACACTTTGTTTGTTCGTATCTCCTCGTTCGAGTATTATTGCATAGAGAACACGGTGAATTTATAATTGTCGAAGTTTTCGGTAAAAGAGCTAATTAGGCAAACCTCTCGTATAAGTAACGGCTGATTACGCAAAGAATTAGTGAAAATTGTATAAATTATTACGAGAAACAAGCATTCCCGGGCGCTCGTAGGTGGCTCGAACCCTTCGCTTAGGGCCACCCGGGTGATTCCCACCGGGTGGCAGGAGGCGACGGGGTCGTAACGGAACAGAGGGGATGAAACAAGTCGCTCTGTTTGATCCGCAAACACTGTAATTGCCTAGAATATTATATTAGGTAGGTCGTTGCTGTGGAGGTGGGGAGGAGGACTTTGAGGATCCCCGTTGTCATCCTGCACCCCACCATCACCATCGTCACCGCCACCATCACGGAAAACACTGGAATAATAATTTATTTTACTTTCACAAAGGGAATGCGTACCACCACCTCCGCCACCTCCGCCACCTCCGCCACCTCCACCACCTCCACCATCGGCACTGCTATTGGCAGCTACGCATTAACGTTTCTCCAGCACGCTTTAAACCTTCCACTCTCCTCCTACGTAAAAGCCTCGTACGTTACGTACACTGCTGTAGATTGAATTACCCCGTTGAAAAGTTGGCTCTTTAGGTAATTCCGAAAGAAATTGACAACACAGGACAGGCCTAGAGAGCGTCACGTTAGGCTATTCAGCGGGTGGTCCCTTTCAGGCTGATGTAGTCCTAGCGACCCACCCCCGAAGAGGGAACCGCCCTGGTGCTTTTCAGCCCAGTCGAAGCCTGGCTCTGAATTATGAATAACATCTGGCCCTACCGAGTCACTCCTCGAACTTTTGGCCTTCTCAAAGTTTTACGGCTACTCCTCCAGGACATTCGAGAACCCCCTTTACCACCTTGACCAGCCGTCCCACCTGCACGAGATAGGATAAGGTGAGGTCCAACCCTCCAGTAATAACCGTACTTAAGGTGCTCGCCTCAGCATCCCTGTCCCAGTTCTGGGAATCGAAACTCCGAGTTCCTGGGGATTTCAATTCGCCTCCAGGGACTTTAACTGGCTCGGAGTAGATGGCTGGTAAGACGGCTGCACGACTCGCAGATATTGGGACAACCTGCGTGTCTCGGGTCGAGACTGAGAAATTGACAAAGTGAACTTTGGCAAGTGTCCGCGATTCGCAGGAATTCTTGAGCACGAGGAGATGGTCGCGTGTCGCAAATAGAAAATGGAGGAATAGGTGGAACGAAACTTAGCGAGGTATGCATATACAATTATAGATGCGTGACGTGCACAGCTGCTGGTATCGGAGAGAAAATCAATTATCCAGCCAGTAGGAGTAATGCTCGTTACATATGCCAAGCATGAATGTAGCAAGGAACGTGTGTATAAAGCCGAATGATTCGTAGAGTGCTCGTATTACCTGGCCGACATAACCTCTGGGAATAGAATAGATACTCTTTATATAGCTTGGTGCCCCATAGAAACAGTCGATTGGATCCTCCGTCACTCTCGCTCTCATTTACTTTCTTTCTCCGTCTAGGCGAAGACTTATTCGAGTCTCTTGAGTCGTCCACGTAGGTCACGATAAAGCACTACGTGTCTCGACTCTGCAATAGCAAGCGACGTATATACCCTGGGCATATCTCACTCGTGCCTACTATGTCTACTTATAGGCTCATACGTCAGGTGAGTGGATGGAATAACGAATAACGATCTAGGGTGACACGATCGATCCTGATCGAGCGAAAGGGTCGATCGTGATCGTCGAGGAGCAAGGCCAGGGTCGTGACTCACCCACTGTGACTCCCGAGACTTACGGAGAGACCATTCGGGTACGTGATTGCTCGAAGGGAGCCTGGGGTGGACCGCTGGACTGCTCATGCTCATCCGGAGCATTGCTTCCTTGTGAATGGATGGAGTTGATATTTTTTTCCTGAGCCCCGCTACAGCTAAGGCAAGCTCCGGTTTTATTGTGAATGAAAGAAACTTAGTGAGGACTGAGGACCGGGTACGGGACTTTGAAGGTATTCTTTAATGGGAAGCGGCGAGGAAGTTTTAGGCTGTAGGTGAAGAGGGGTCGGATCGCCAGCACGAACCAGGATCCCGAAGTGCCAGAGTCATGGCTCGAAAGTGAAGGGAGCTCGCGTGACTGCGTGTACCGAATGAAGTCTCCTGCGTAGGCCGGATGACCGAAGGGGGTTGGTTCGGTGGCAATGCCATTCTGTACTTGGCTCAGTCCTATTCCTGGATGAGGAGGATCTGAAGGGGAGAGGAGTACAGGGGTCATGCCAGGGGCGAACACGGAGGGATCGATGTGGTTTGGCAGAGGCCGTGCACTCTCCTGTCCTCTTTCCTCCCTCTTTCGCCCCCCCCCCTCTCTCTCTCTCTCTCTCTTTCTCTCTCTCTCTCGATGTCTATAGGTATTCTGCCCTTCGACTGCCTCCCTCGTAGGTAGAAACTGAGGGAAGAGTTTTCGGAGGGTCTGGGGGAGCACCCTCGTCTGCAGGGGGCGGAGGTCGATTTATTGATCGTCGAAAACCACGCCTTCCACCCCCGTAATACCACGCCTCCAACCCCTCGGGATCCTTCGGAGATACGGGGGTTGACGTCTGAGGGGAGGCAGGAACTAGCTGCAATTTCCTCTTTTTTTTTTTCCTTTCCCTACCACCCCTCTCCCACCCCCCCACTCCCTTCTCTACCCCTTCCATCCTCTTTTATTTCTTTTCTCTCTTATTGTTAGCCTCGCCAATTTGTAAGGACTACCCGGTCGAACATGGCTCTGCACATCACTCTTTCGACCCCGAAGTCTCTTCGTTCTGATAAGAAATCAGCTACCCCGAGCTACCCTGAAATCGTTAGGACGACCTCTATGACCTCTCCAAGAACATCCCTTATAATCTTTATTAATTTTGTAACCTAATTCCAACCCTTGCGTTGTTCCCCATACTTGATATGGTAGTCACTTCTCAAACGCCTGCAAGTGTATTGTTATTCCCACGTATTCGAGCCTAAAAATAACACACTCGTAGGTCTGTTAAAGGTGACTACCATTGAAAGTATAGGGAATAAGACACTTGGATTTGCGGCGTAGACCCAAGGAAAATCTTGAAAAAAAATGAAGAGGCGCAACCGATTGACGATTTCGGACCAGGTTCCGATTACGCACTGCTGTACCGTCATTCACAAAAATCAATCGGTAGAATCTTATGGGAAGTTATCAATGGTCATTTGAAGTCTCTCGTGTCTTAGGCACTATTGCTATCTGTCATGAACTCCGTACTCGGTGGACACGCGTACGTGTATTCTTGGCCAATTATCATGGACTTTCTCTGATCATTGCTCCTCAGCATCCCATATACAAGCAGGCTGCTGGTGTTTGTCTAAGCGTACAGCCGGATAACGACGACTGCCAACGAGCACCGGAGAAAGTACAGCACACACGTTCCCTGGCGCTTAGATGCAACGACGAAGTCTTGGCCTTCGCTGAACTTGCTCAAGACGTTCAAGACGTCACAGAGGTAATGATGAGGTACCCAAAATTGACGTCTGTTTTGTCTGGAACAAAATTACGCACCAAGCGGATCCTCCGTGCCACGTCGAAGTTCTATTTGAAATTTTAAGCCTCGCGACGAATCAGTTCAGGCACCTGTTGTGAAATCCACAAAAACCAATGTCGACACACGTGGAAGAAAATTACTGAAATCCCCGAAATGTCGAAATCTTATAAATTCCACCTCCAGGCGTTTCTTTGACTTTTCTTATTTTATGTTGACTTTCACAGATTTATAGAAAAAACAATGAAGCCTCGCTAACAGTCGATGGAATTTCAATGGGATTTTTCACACAGGTCTGCCACCAATACTTTCCCTTGGTACTGCAACTGCATTTGATTACGCAGTCTGATTGCAACTGCAACGTGCACCGTGAAGATGACGTGCGTGAGAGGTGAATTCGATGCGTCGCGACGCGTCGGGACGCGCTTGGTGTCTCTTACGGATAACCCACAGCTGCATGCTGGACACTCGTCTCCGTAGCACGTAAACAGAATCCATACGAGTGGGACCACGTGTCCTTGTTGGTTTCCCTCGCTGGTGAAACTGTGACGTCATAAACGCACTGACGTAACGCCTGCCAATTCTTCCGGAATCGAATGAGATAACTCTATTTCTATTTATTATCGTGAATGACTCTAAGTGAATCGACGGCTTGTCGCTGCCCTTGAGAAACCATTAATTAGCGTGTTGGAAAAGTTGACCTTTCAAATGAATTAACAGACGTTTGTACGTGCGATGCCGAATAATAGCCTGAAGGCCCAAACTTAGGACGTTCTTCTCGGACCGAGCAAGTAGTCGATTGCTCGCGTAATGCGGATTCGAGTGATCGGTAAGGAAATTGGAATTGAGCCAGAGGAGTGGGAGCGGGAGAGATTATTAATTATCTATGATAAATCCTGATTGGCTGAATTTGAGGATGATTTTTCAAAGGGATCCCCTCGTCAGACGTGACAATGTAATCTTCAGTGTGCCTGACCTTGGACATCTTCCCCACGCGTAATTGGCTAATTACTGACGGCCTCAAGACGTGACTCGAGCAACGAGAAAGACTCGAGCGTTCGGATGGCAAAAGGCAGCAGGAGTCAAGTCGGTGGAAGATTAAGCAATAACGGCGAACAAAAGTCCACGTCTGTTCAACTTACCTAGATAATCGTCTTACGTGTACACAGCTATATATACATACGTGATTTTCTTGGTTAACTCACCTAATTATACTCTCACGTGGTAACAAGCTGGCGAATAAGGATTCGCGTAGAATCGTGTCGACATGTGAAAATTCGTATCTACGAAATTGGCAATGCTCGTATGAATTATACTGATTTTTAACTTATTTTAACATAAACGACACACGAGTGTTCCAGTACAAGTCGTTAGAATCGATTATCGAATCGAATATGTGATTTCCGATGTATCGTAGTTCTTTGCGACACCATCGGTTTTCGCCAATTGAATCGGCAGGAGCGATGAAAATTTTTCGAAAAAGCCAAAATTCGGACAGGCGACATTGGCTGTTAGCTCTAGTAATCTTGCAGTAAGGAAGTATCGCTCGTTGAAGATCTCCTTGTGGTACGGATGGAACCGTGGTTATTGGTAGCTTTGTCATTTTTCCTATGATCCTTATACATTGGATTTTTGACAATGAATTTTGTAAATTTTTCAATTTTCAAAATTTTCAATTAAATACTGTACATATATAATCGCCATTGCTAAGGACTTGAAGGCGAAAGGTCGGTTTAAATTTTCCGTGATAAATCATCAGCCGATCCTCGTCTTTACATCAGGATGCACTTGCCATTTATCAATACTATATTTAGGTCCACGGATGCTGCATCCCATCCGTGCACCTTCACCCAGTTTCAAATCTCTTTTTTAATTCTCATCTAAGCGAGAACTCGTTCCCGACGTCGTCATCGATTCGTGAGGATCATCAGGCCAGGCCCGTGATCCTCGCTATTCGTCATCGACTCCGCAGGATTCCTATTGCAATTACGATTGTCGAGACATTCAACACGGACGCCATGTCCATATACACGAGCAGCCGAGCTGCCATCTCCTTCTGGAACTACAGAGAAAACTATTGCAATCCTCTATCCGAGCATATTTCTATTCAGCGGCAGTCATTATGTCGTTACGTTTGCGCGACAGGAATTGTAAATAAAGGCAGCCTCGGGCGACCATTGAACTCCGTCGCGACGATCCTACGAAACAATTGCCGTTCCCGAAAGAGCCTAATACACAAGGAATACGAATATTACTTTTCAATAACAACATACTGAAGCCCCGTTCACACAGAAGCGACCAGACTGTGACTCTCTTATTGTCGCAATCGTAGCATGAAAACCCCCGGCTCGAGTATCGCGTAGAAAAAGAATGTCGAGCCTTGGCGCGTTTCTATGATCGTCAAGATCGCGTAGCTGCACATGAAAACAATAACGAGCGACAATGAAGCGACTGTGAAGAATGAAGATACGACGCTCCGCAGTGGAGCACAATGCCTGGTGCACACGTAATAAGATAACAAGAAAACGGCTAATATCTTTCGCTATGTAACATAAGCAGTCGGGGGAATCCTTCGAATCAATTAACTGAAAGAGTCTTGGGCAAGCCGACACAAAGCAGCTCGCCGACTCGCCGACTCGCAAGACACCACGGATATTAATTATCTAGGGCAGATCCTCACCGGTGCAACCGACTCCGATCTAGCTGCCGTCACTTTCGCTTTTCCTGCGCGGCTTCGCCGATCGTTTTCCTCTTGTTCGTCCTCTTTTTACTTTATTATTCGTTTACCCCCTGTATTACTGATATTTCATACTCTGACTAAACCGCAGCGCGTGCTGCTCAACTTTGTGGCTTCCCCGTTACAAAGTCTTCGACAATTGTATTAACCGATGTGAAATCAGAGTTGACATTAATCTTTTTAAAACGCGAACCAACCGACGTCCATTCTTATGGCTCGTTAACTCCCTTTAGTCACGGGGTCACACTCCCTTGAAGCGTGCAAAACGGAAGCGCGACCTGCGGTGACCCCGAGTAATGGTAACCCAGAGTCCAAAGAGCGGTAAGCAGCATTAGCAGCGCAGTAACAAAAAAATATTTTCGAAATACCTGGGAAATCGGGCTGCGAGCTACGAGAGGAGCATTGTTCGGTCGGTCGATTCAAACTTCCCGCGCATTATCTCGAACGTTAATCGGGACTCGGTTGACGTCACTCCGAACTCGCCCCTGGAAACCTATTCAGGCCTCATTAGATATCCTGTGTCTTTTGTGTTTTCGAGCACCGACACTTGACTGTTATATAAATTGATTAAACCGGCGATGCATTTTTTTTAGAGGAATTACTACAGAGAATTGTATCTGGACAAGATGGCGGAGTGAGTGAATTAAAAATAGAAAATTTTTTGAAAAAATTAAGTACGAGCGTGAATTAGAACGTGGACTGTCCAGGGTCAGTCACTGGGCTCATCTTCTCCGTAGGCTTCTTCTTCCCTCCTGGCTCGGACGTATCCCCGCTTTCGTCTGATCTGCCCTTTCCTCTGCTCCCCACCAAGCTCCCCAGTGGCACCGTGGCACCGTGGCATCCTCTTGCACCTCGAGACTTTCTCCAAAAGACGGCCAAGTATATAAGCCAGATGCGCAGTGTTTGAAGCACGTTAGACCAAATCAAAGACTCGGTACTGGTGAGACACGAGGACCCCCTAGACATAAGACCACCGTAGCAAAAGATATCGGAAGAAGATAAGAAGGGGAGAGAGAGAGAGAGAGAGAGAGAGAGAGAGAGAGAGAGAGAGAGAGAGAGAGAAAGAGCGGAGAAAGAAATTAAGTAATCGGGTGTGAAATCGGCATCAAAGTTAGGATTTCATCAGGGAAGATAATGAGGCCCTTCCGAAATTGGGCCCTACTGGCAGTGAGCCTACTTGCTACGGCCCTGCTACCACCGAGCTGCGCCGAGGGTAAGAAAACACGAATATCAATGGGAGATGACTCTACGAGTTTGTTTCCTTGAAATTTCCCAATCGTCCGAATCGTCGCCCTTTAGTTTCCAACACTGGCGACACGTCGCGAATGCTGATAGACGCGATGATTTCGAAGAAAAACTTACGGGCGGGTTTCCAATGGGAATCGAAAGTAAAATTGAGAATGCCTGAGAGGCGCGAAGCATAAATTAGCCTGTTCTCTATTGACTGTATATCAGGGGACGCTCGTAGTATTGACCAACAGTGACATCAGTCCCGAACGTGCGAGTTTTTTTTCATTAATTTCTATTTTTCAATTATCCGAATTAAATACGACTAGTAATTTCGATTGTTTAATTGAAAGATTTATAATTCTGAGGCTCTATGCAATTTTTCATTGTTTTGTCAGAATGTTTTGACTGCCGAGTAAATTCTAGTAATTTTCTTAGCACTACTTACTGACGTGACAGTCGAATCAAGGCCAGACCGGCATTCACGATGTATCACAGAAGGGGTAGGCGAAGTACGTGAGACTTTTTTACGGAGACGTGGAAAACGCGAGACGAGATGCGGTGCACTTGAAAGTGCACTCTCCTTTGCATTCTTTCACCTGAATCCCGAGTACGTGACGAATTTTGCTCTCTGAGGTTAATCATCGTAGCGACGTACGACGAATCTCCCACACTTTCACCATAGAGACGAGACGCTGAGAGATGCGATGAGAAAATGAGAGTGGGGCCCAGGTGTATCTTCCACATGACTATGAGGAGCCTGAGTCTTCTTGCGGGATCCTTCCTTCACTTTCCACGCTTCGCTTGGTTCATTCGGTTCACCGGATACATATGGACTCGCGATTTTGCACACTGGGGATTTCAATGCTCTCTTACGTGTTCGCTGCGGCCAAGTCCAAGTGTCTAGTTTAAGGATCGGGAGGAGTCCTGGGTATAGTGAAGGATGAAAGTTTTTTTTTTTTTTTTTTTTTTTTTTTTTTCACGAATTGCATTTATTTTTGAATGCACTATCCTTTTGTTATGGGGACTGAGGAAGGTGACTGGTGACGTTTGAAATAATGGAGTTTTGAAAGTGACAACGAGAGAAAGTGAGTTTTAGAAAATTGAATTAAAAATAATTGAGCCTCCGTTTCAGCACCGTTGACGGGAAGCTACCTGCCGCCGTCCACGAGCTATGGGACACCGAATCTTGGAGGTGGTGGCGGAGGTGGTGGCGGAGGTGGTTTCGGAGGCGGAAGTGGAGGTGGTTTTGGCGGTAGTGCTCCGTCATCGAGTTATGGAGCTCCTTCGCTAGGAGGAGGCGGTGGAGGAGGTTTTGGAGGCGGTGCACCATCCTCCAGCTACGGAGCCCCATCCAGTGGAGGATCCGGCGGATTTGGTGGTGGTGGTGGTGGCGGTGGCTTCCGAGGAGGTGCACCCTCCAGTAGCTACGGAACTCCCTCTCTGGGCGGTGGTGGTGGAGGTGGCGGCAGACCGTCCTCTAGTTACGGAGCACCTTCGTCCGGCGGAAGTGGCGGATTTGGAGGTGGCGGTTTCGGCGGTGGTCGTCCATCCTCGTCCTACGGTGCACCTTCTTCCGGAGGTGGGTTCGGAGGTGGCTCTGGAGGATTCGGAGGTGGTCGTCCTTCGTCCAGCTATGGCGCACCCTCTTCTGGTGGAAGCGGAGGATTTGGAGGTGGCGGTTTTGGAGGTGGTGCTCCATCTTCCAGCTACGGAGCACCATCCCGTGGAAACGGAGGTGGACGACCTTCTTCCAGCTACGGCGCACCGTCTTCCGGTGGTAGCGGCGGATTCGGAGGTGGCAGCTTCGGCGGCGGAGCGCCCTCGTCCAGCTACGGCGCACCGTCTTCCGGTGGTAGCGGCGGATTCGGAGGTGGCAGCTTCGGCGGCGGAGCGCCCTCGTCCAGCTACGGCGCACCGTCTTCCGGTGGTAGCGGCGGATTCGGAGGTGGCAGCTTCGGCGGCGGAGCGCCCTCGTCCAGCTACGGAGCACCGTCATCTGGCGGTGGCAGACCATCCTCCAGCTATGGTGCACCCAGCTCGGGCGGTAGCAGTGGCGGATTCGGAGGAGGATTTGGTGGTGGCTTTGGAGGTGGAATCAGCGGCGGGTAATTCTGACACAAATCCTCGAGTATTTAATATAAGAAAGTAATAAACCACAAAATCTTATCACCTTATGTGATATCTTAGCTCCGGCGGTGGTTACTCCAGCGGCGGCGGCGGCGGCAGTCGTCCATCTTCGAACTACGGTGCTCCCAACGTCGGAGGTGGCGGTGGAGGCGGACAAAGCTACGCCAGCAACGGCGGCTACCAATATTAATATGGCCGCGTGCCCTTTCGTGGACTCTCGTAAATCGATCGGTAACCTTTAACTTGGATCTCCTTACCTTCCATCCTAGACCTTCCTGAACCTTCCCCACCAGTAAAGTATCTCCTCATCACGATAATGCAAATTCACGAATACCAGAAACTTTGATTATTTCGACTAACAAATGAAGTTATATTCTGAGAAAAACGATAACAACAGAATAAGTAGAAAGTAGGAAAGACAAAAGCTACACCTGTCATAGAAGATGATGAAGAAACGAGTCCCTCTTGGGGAACGATTGTACATTTTATACTTTTATACAAAAAAAAATCCAAAAAATTAACTTTCGAAAATAATACGTAAGATACTCTGACACGAGCCGGCAGACAACCACCGTGCTATCTTTAGGCTCCTGTAACTTATTTATTTTTCTAAAGTTGCTTTTACATGTACTAATAAAGCCGCTACCTTAAAAAAGTGTAAAACTTTACTCCAAATGAATTTCAAGCAAATCCAAAATCTGACCTTTTCAAATAATTCATACAGAATGTATATATACACGTATTGTATACCCAAGGCTCAGAACGAGGCTACTGCGAATCTCGATATAGATCCGACTAAGGTTATTCAGGCGGTCGGCTACATCGATCCCAGAGAAGCTACTAATAGAAGTACCATATAAAGAAAAGACTTACCTAGGAGTCATTAAATGTCTGCTAGAACTCTCGTAAAAATTATTTTCACCGAAAAAAATATATATTCATCGAATTCACGCATAGAAGTGCGAAGAGTCTTCCCTTCGAAGTAACATCAAAATTGTGAGCAATTTTGAAATGAAGAGTCTGCCAAAATTTCAATTTTTCTTACCTAACGCGTCCAAAATTCTATTTTAGTCCTCAACATAAAAGGAAAAGAGGAAGAAAGGAAACAATGACGAAACGTTTTTGTACACCGTTTATTTTTAACATTTACAATCAACATCTCGATTACTTTTGTCAATTATGCACGTATATAGTACAGTGCTGCTTAACGCACGATATACATTAATTACTTTCGATAATTTGGAGAATTAATCCCCTCTCCTTTTCTCACACTTTCTATACTTTCATCCCACTATAGTTTCGTACATTAGCTTCATCCCTACCGTCGCCAAACTCCTTCTTAAAATTCTTCCTCCTTCGTATCCTTCACCACCTTCAATCGTATATCGCAACCGGCAGAACCTCGTGATATGTATAAGTTTCGTTACATCGTTACAATGTAATTGATATGTACGTAGGTAAGGTAACACGTGCGCCCCAGTACATACGTAATACCTACATGGTCACACACGTGTACACACGACTCGAGTAAATTATTCGTAATTCTCAAAATAGGGACGATTCGCGCGAAATCGATGTTTCACCAGGAAACAAAGAACAGTAGTAGTATATACCACAAGGATTGAGGGG